ATTTTCCTTCACCATGGAGAGATTTCCTCTCAATTCTTGTTGTGCCTACAGGACAGGAAGCCAAGCCCCATTCACACCTGAGCAGCTGGCCGCGCATATTCAGCTGAATACGCGCGGAGCCGCTCTAAACAGGGAATTCAATGTGCTTCAATGTGCATCTTTTACACCAGTGCGGGGGCCGCACGGCCCCCGAGATAGTGCAAGCGCAATAATCCGGCAGATTCCGCACATTCACGGCTATTTAATAGCCACAATCAAGCGGCATCTATGCAGATTTAAAAATATTAGCGTTTTCGTCCTGCATGGTCTTCCGCTCGGAAAACTGTGTAGGAACCGAAAACGCTATGTGTGAATGCAGCCTATAAGGAAATGTCCCCCAATGGGTCACAGACAGCAAAAAGAAAACCAGACAGGAGTTTCAACCACTCTCTACCTTATCAAAAAATGTTTTGACCATAGATATTTGGCTATAGCTACTGTATACTTTATGCTTTAAAAATGCCATACCTAAGCAAGTAAAAAATATATGGATTACTACTTGGTAAAAAACAGAAAATGAAAGGGGCACATTTTCTGTATGAGCATATTCAAGTACTGAAGATCCCAATGCTTGCCTCATCTGTGTTCTTAACATTAGCAGATTCTAACATGACAATTTACACGACTAGAGCACTTATATCCAGCATTGTGTTCAATAAATATTACTTATTGCAGGATGACAGCTGGACTGCTCAATACTCCTCATTAATCTTCCAACCATGACTTCATTTTACGTGCAGAATTACACATGGACTGCCATGTGAAGAGCCACAAGGGTGTAAAAAGCATGTAATGTAAAATGCTGATAAAAAGCTTTGTACTTACAGATGACAAGACAGAAGATCACACAAGCACAATGTACTTAGTTAATTGGAGACCTTCATTTTCGTAAAAGAAAAAAAAAGGAGTTTGCTCCCTCTTACCGACTTCTGGATCAATAAAGGTAACAAAAAAATGATCTCCGTGCTTTATACCCAGAGCCAGTGTAATGTGTATGCACTGGGTGCTCCTTCCATCTAACAACATTTAACATATGCACCGTGCCATTGACATTATTTTCTATCTGCCTCGTACATGACTTAAAGGCCAACTCCTGGCAAAAATCTATATTTACAGTGTATTGTTAATATTGTTCTTTTTCCCCACTGTTTTTTTCACCCAAGCATATTCCTGATATATATAGTGATATCCTCTTCAAAGAAAAATGTATTTAGCATGGTCAGTGTTATTTCCTGTCCCAAAGACCATTCGTGTTTTGCCAATAACAAGCTGCTAAGGGACCTATCACCTCACCACCCTCATGTAGCCCTCAGCGCTCTTTTGGTGACATAAGCAGGTCATCGTGAATAGTCTGGATTATTTCAATGCCCATGTCTTCAGCCCACCTGCCTTGCCCAGTACAGCACTTCGCCCATGACTGACTTCACCAAAGGACAGGAAACAGTGGCTAGGAATCGTGGGGCATGTAGTCCAATAACACAGTAAGAAATTACATAATAATGTACAAGCATCCAGTTAAAGCTTAGAAAGAGGTGGATGAATGATGACATCATAGGTAGTAATATCTGTCCCCCCACCCCTAAATTGTTGCTAACTATGTATCCTCACTGTCTCATTAATTTCCTGCAATTACACCATCAGCGCCATATTCAATAAAACAACGCAAGGAGCAAAATGTACGAGATGTGTAAGTGCAGTTACACTTTGCAAGCCATCACTTTTGTTCTCTTAACTAATGTGACTGCAATACACTGAAATCTGACTGCCAAGGGTCATTTGTACATTGTAGATCCTTATTGCTCTTTGCACTGCGTGTTTTACTTGGCCTCAATTTTGTTATTCAAAGTAGAACTTCCAACAAACAGCTCAATATGCAGCTAAACAAACATTGTCAAATATTCTACTTTCCCTTTCTGGATAGTAAACCAGCATCATTACATTGTAAGGCAACAGTTAAATGAGCAGATATGGCAGGTGAAAGGCTCACACAGATCTTACAGCTGGCTTTTCAGATGTTTGCCCGATGTCAAGCTATACAGCAAAAGTGTAGTCATGTATAAAATGGATCATCTAAACTATTTATGTTTTAATTTAAATAAATCCTTACATTTATTGTAAACAGTACCGTAGGCTTTCTTTATATTAGCCTCTTGTTGTTCAATATTCAGACTAGGAAAGGACAGGGCAGCACTGTAAGCCAATGAGGCCTGAAGTGGAACTAAACACACCTCAGAAAAATTGTTAGGACGTAGAGCTTTTTAGCAGAAGAGACTTTGAATGCATCTTCTGCCAAAAACTATTTCCCTTTTTCCTAGCATGTTTTTTTTGTGTAACTGAGTGCAGTGATGATGTGAACTGATGGCAGTGGCCATGGATGAAATGGCAATGGGGATCATGAAACTGTAGCACTGGAGGAGGGCAAACACAGAGGTAAGTCTGCCATAATGTGCAAATATGCTATGCAAATCTGCCGACAATCGGCCACTCTACAGTTATGCTTTAAACACATTGCACAGTGCAAAGAGAGCTGGGTATAGGAAGGGAACACTCAGTGATGACCTTGTCAATGTGTTGCTGTTCCTTCACTATCCAATCAGAATCTGAGAAGGACCATGACCAATCTGCATTTTTTTAAATTTAGTTGAGATAATGGAAGTCAGAAAATGAATGTGACTTGTATGCCTGAAATCGAAAATGGATAAAAAGAATGATAAACTTTTTGTTCACAAACATGTATTTCAACTGTGAATTAAGTTTACACTTCCATTTGAAAATCCATGTGTACTTGAAATCTATGGACAGAGAACAACTGTTGTCTATGTAGTACAGCATGCTTATCCGTCTGACATCTCTCACTTGGTTTATGCAAGAAACATGACGGGGAGAGAAGAGGCAACATCTGAGTGCCATTAGTCCAAGTCTGCCTGTGTCTGGCTGCAATACAAGACTTATAGTTAATACAGCTGAGCAAAGCCTGAACGTAGCAGGTTACCCTCTTGAGATAGCGCAGTTTTGCATAATGTATTGTTTTTGGCTCCATGATCATCCAATAAATCACTGCATGTTGCCAGGTTGAAGTGACACTGGTAAAGACAGCTGGGTTAGCGTGCAGCTTAGTTCATCTTCAGTGGCACGTGTGCTCAGGTAGGGATTCCATTTAAATCTGGAGATTCCAGGCTTACGTAGGCTAACCTTACACGTCTTTGTAATCTGAAACCTAGTCCCATGTGACAAGACACTACAGAAGACTGAAATATCCAGGGAATACACAGGCATTGTACAAGCAGAGGAACAGGACTACAGGCACAGCATACCCTACCATCCCAACAATACATAGTTCACCAAATACACATTTTACTGCAGAGAATCATCATCAACAGACTGTCCAATGATCTGCATTAAATATGAAGTATACAATAATTCAAATGGGTACAAAGCGATAGCGCAAATGTTTGTGCATGTATAAGTGTCCAAACAACTTGGAACATTCATCTACAACAGCCTTTCTCACCTTTTCAACCCAGAGTAACCCTGCTAAAAGTGATTCATCAGGGTCAGTGGGAAGAATGCCCCTTACACTGGTGATCAGGGAAAAATGCCCCTTACATTGGTGATCAGAGAAGAATGCCCCTTACATTGGTGATCAGGGAAGAATGCCCCTTACATTGGTGATCACAGAAGAATGCCCCTTACATTGGTGATCAGGGAAGAATGCCCCTTACATTGGTGATCAGGGAAGAATGCTCCTCACATTGATGATCAGAGAAGAATGCCTCTTACATTTGGTAATCAGGGAAGAATGCCCCTTACATTGGTGATCAGGAAAAAATGTCCCTTATAGTGGTGATCAGGGAAACATGTCCCTTACAGTACATTGGTAATCAGGGAAGAATGCCCCTTACATTGGTGATCAGGGAGACATGCCCCTTACATTGGTGATTAGGAAACAATGCCCCTTATAGTGGTGATCAGGGAAGAGTGCCTCTTACAGTACATTGGTAATCTGGGAAGAATGCCCCTTACGGTGATGATCAGGGAGACATGCCCCTTACATTGGTGATTACGGGAGAGTTCCCCTTACAATGGTGATTAGGAAAGAATGCCTCTTTTAGTGGGGATCAGGGAAGAGTGCCCCTTTATGGTGGTGATCAGGGAGAAATGCCCCATACATTGGTGATCAGGAAAGAATGCCTCTTACATGGGTGACCAGGGACGAATGCCCCTTACAATGTCACCCTTACAGACAGCTGCCTCTTCCAAATGGTGTTGAACCTGGAAATATGCAGGCACCATCAGATGGGAGGCCAGCCATAACTCAATGAACCTCTAACAACCTCTGAAGGAACCATAAGGATCCACAAAACTCTGGGTGAGATTGGGTGATCAACAATACATATTTTTCTAATAGAACTCCATCTGTTTCAGAGGGTAAACATTTGACCTTCCCATCTATTTGTATGTAGAATTTAGATTGTGCAGGATATCTTCTAAGCAACAAAAATATACACAAGTCATGTGTAATGCACATGTGAAAGTCACATAATGGTGAAACAATGCACACATTATTTTCGTTACAGTAACTGTATAGACATGTCAGAGAAATACAAGCTGTGTATACACACTGATAACATCGGATACAAAAACCTCAGACACTCTGCTTCCTGTCTCATGCACTGCATACTGAAACAAATCTATACCATGAGAAGTCCACACGCTAATATAGAGATCCTTGTAACGTGATCATTTAGCTACATGTAACAATACCAGATAAAGTTTATTTCACATGCATTCCTCTCTACAGTATGTCAAAGATTGTACCGGCGCACAGACCTCCACTAGCACCAATCCCCAGCCAAGGCGATCAGGACCCCCGAACTTCAGCAAACTTCTCCACTCGCCCCATAGGTCATATAACTGCAGCACACCCAGCCTCTTACACATACAGCTATTCATGCTGATACCTCGGGGAAGCCTTCATTGAGGATATCCTGCAGGTTGCCCCTTGCTAGATAAGCGATCATCATCTGCAGATGATAAGAGACGACCCCACTCTTTATATCCACGCCAGTGGTCAGGCTAGCTGTAGGCACACAGCAGCAGATGCCATCAGGGATAACACTGGTCCTCTCTGCCCGCTGGAGACTTGTGAGCACAGCTGAAGGGAGGGAGGAGGAGAGGAACTGTGCAGAGACACTGAGCATGCGTGTAATGGGATCTCCTACCAGTGTGTGAGGTGTCAGCCCAAACTTCACTATGACAACCAGCAGTTTATAGGATGGAGACACAGGAAGGAATAACAGAAAACAGATGCTAAGGTCTGCATCAGCATGCTCGCTAAAACCCAGAACACACACTCTCATAATACAATATGATCTGCATAACAGGGGAAAATAAATAGAATCATCGAAAAATGTAACATTATGATTCCTAACTGGAAAATGTGGGGAAAAGTTAGAAATATCCTTTAATAAAGATAATCATAAGTGATAAGAGGATCTGTTCACGTCTATTTTTTAATGATGTGTTGCATGCAAAGCACTATTCTTCTAAACGGTGCATGTTTAGGTATTCACAAAGCATCAACATACACTATATTGACAAAAGTATTGGGACACCCCTCCAAATCACTGGATTCAGGTATTCCAATCACCTCCATGGCCACAAGTGCATAAAACCAAGCACCTAGGCATGCAGACGCTTCTACAAACATTTGTGAAAGAATGGGTCCCTCTCAGGAGCTCAGTGAATTCAAGCGTGGGACTGTGATAGGTTGCCACCTGTGCAATAAGTCCATCCGTGAAATTTCCTTGCTACTAAATATTCCACGGTCAACTGTTAGTGGTATTATAACAAAGTGGAAGCAACTGGGAACAACAGCAACTCAGCCATGAAGTGGTAGGCCACATAAAATGACAGAGCGGGGTCAGCGCATGCTGAAGCGCGCAGTAAGCAGAAGTCGCCGACCGTCTGCAGAGTCTATAGCTACAGACCTCCAAACTTCGTGTGGCCTTCAGATTGGCACAACAACAGTGCATAGAGAGCTTCATGGAATGGGTTTCCATGGCGGAGAAGCTGCATCCAAACCTCAAACATTACATCACCAAGTGCAATGCAAAGCGTGGGATGCCGTGGTGTAAAGCACGCCGCCACTGGACTCGAGAAGTGGAGACGTGTTCTCTGGAGTGACTAATCATGCTTCTCTGTCTGGCAATCCGATGGACATGTATGGGTTTGGCGGTTGCCAGGAGAACGGTACTTGCCTGACTGCATTGTGCCAAGTGTAAAGTTTGGTGGAGGGGGATTATGGTGTAGGGTTGTTTTTCAGGGGTTGAGCTTGGCCCCTTAGTTCCAGTGAAGGGAACTCTTAAGGTATGAGCATACCAAGACATTTTGGACAATTTCGTGCTCCCAACTTTGTGGGAACAGTTTGGGGATGGCCCCTTCCTGTTCCAACATGACTGCGCACCAGTACACAGAGCAAGGTCCATAAAGACATGGATGAGTGAGATTGGGGTGGAGGAACTTGACTGGCCTGCACAGAGTCCTGACCTCAACCCGAAACATGTTTGGGATGAATTTGAGCGGAGACTGCGAGCCCGGCCTTCTCGTCCCACATCAGTACCTGACCTCACAAATATGCTTCTGGAAGAATGGTCAAACATTCCCATAGACACACTCCTAAACCTTGTGGACGAATTCACAGAAGAGTTGAAGCTGTTATAGCTGTAAAGGGTGGTCCAACTCAATATTGAACCCTACGGACTAAGACTGGGATGCCATTAAAGTTCATGTGCGTGTAAAGGTCGGTGTCCCAATACTTTTGGTGTGTGTATATATAGATATATGTATATATGTATATATACATATATCTATATATATATATATTTATTTAAAATATGCCAAGATAAGACTTAAATGCTCCACAGTCCATAGATAAACCTTTTCATCAACAAAAGGTTCCAAACAATTATATTATAACCTTAACAGCTAAACTTATGATATGTCAAAAGGAAGTAACTTTTGTTATGGATGAACTATATTTGTAAACGGCCAAGGACTGTGGAACCAGTTGACTCAGTTCTAATGTTGTGGAACTTGTAACAATTGAATAAACACCATCATCTTTCAGCAAGGACACGAGTGTAACAAAATACAATAAACACAAATATTATTCCATAGCGTAATACATGCTGAGTTGGCCTAGGCAACTGATTTTAGACTGTATGACTGTAGTCTCATGTCAGTACCACAAAAGCATGGAAGGTTGCTATCTAATAAAAACTCTGGGCACAAAAACATTAATTTAAAGGGATAGTTCACTTTTGGGGACATTACCCAAAAAGTATTGCATGCATCCCAGCACGCACTGCCAAAGATAAATCACAGTTTAGTTGAAAAAAAAGTGTCCTGTCACACCTTAGGGTCGTGTGTTGCCTGACCACAAAACTCCTTCCCAGGTGAACCAACCCTTTAGCCCTCGTTCACACCTGAACGTTTTGTAGCGCGTTCTATGCTCGACGAATGCTCTACAAAACGCTCAAAAATATAAATCCCATTGTATTCAATGGTCTCGTTCCCCCCTTAGCGTATTTCCGCCCGTCCCTAACGCGCTACAAAACGGCCCACGCCTGAAAAGGTACAGGTACTACTTTGGGCCGTTTTGTTGCGCGTTTCCATTGGGATACAGCCAAATAGCCTTCGGAAACGTGCGACGGTCGCGCAACTTTTTTACCGCGAATTGCGGTAAAAAAACGCGCGACGGTCACGTGACAGACGCGCATATGCAATACGCCTAGGTGTGAACGAGACCTTAAATATATTCCTCAATAGACATTAGATATAAATCCACTTTGTGTGCAGATATTACCTTGTGAAAGGAGCAGTGGCATCATCACTGTGTTGCACAAAGACTGTTTAGATAGCAGGCTGTGGCCCTTTGTGGAGATACTGTCACATTGCCCTGCATGGGCAAAATGACAATGTGCCTTCAATAGTGAGTTTCTGTAAGGTGTTTATTAAAGTGAGCAAAAAAATATAACATAGAGATACAGTATATATAGATATTAATAATGGTTTATGGGATAAAATACTGGTTTATAAGAAATAGAGGATTTCAATATGCCCATTGCACACCCGTTCTACATTTTTTGTTAATTGAACAATTTGATGGGCATGTAATGGAAATGATAATAAACGCATTTAAAATACCTCATGCAGCTTTGTTACTGTACCCTAAAGTAGTAGAGACTACGCCGTTATTTCCCAAGTGAGCCCCTTCTATATAATGCTTACGTCTAGGACCACGCTATCATTGAGTTCGTCAGGTTTTTACTGTTCCTCTATTTCTTGTTGTAAGACTAAAGTAACCTAGGAAAGGTCAGTTCCTCCTCTATTACTCCAAAAGCTGTTTGCCTTTTGTTTGACGTCAGCGGTCTGGTCAAGGCCCCGCCTCTTGAGGTCAGTGGTCATATGCTTTTAAAGGTGAACTATGGGGTAAGTGTTTTTCCCCATAGTTCTCCTAAGGGTCACAGGAGGACATAAACTAGCGCCCTCCCGTGACCCCACAGCTCAGTATATCGCGAGCGACAGTTCGCGGTATACTGAGACAGCCGCAGCCGGGACGGATCCAGACAATACTGTCGAGATCCACCCAGGTACGTGATTGAAAGCTGGCTCTGCCTATCTAGAGGCAGAGCCAGGTGTACCCGCCCCCTCCCCTGCCCGTTCCGCCAGTCACCGCTGGAGGATCGGAGCGGGGAATCAGTCACGGCTCTCTGCAGGGGCAGGATCGAGAAGTGAGCGAGCGATGGTATGTGTTCGCTCACTTCCCGATCTATTGAGCCGACGTGTGACAGTTTCATTGTCACACGTAGGCTCGAACTATGAGGATGAGTGAAAAATCACTCACCTCATAGTTCTCCTTTAAGTCCTCTGGTCACACATACAGTAAATATTCTAAATAAGCCAACCAGCCGGACACTATACTAGGATATCCCAGTGCTGGTACGCATGCTGCCTGTTATGTTAACTCCCTTGTAATTTAAGTCTTATAGTACTTACTTAATATTATCACATCTTAATATTAGTATTGGGATCTAGAAATGATTATCAGGGAATGCACATAATAGGCTTCAACTAATCTATTTACAAATATACATATTCAGGTCAACAAAGTTCAAGAAAAACTCCTATTAGGGCTTTTTCACACCATGTCCGATGAGCTGTATTTTTCTGCACATAATTGCACATATAAGATGTGAACAGTTGATTTCTATATGCCCTGTGCACACCATACATGTGTGGTGGTATGCAGAAAATGAAGCTCAATGAAAATGGTGTCAATAGGCCCTTAGATCAAATCTGGTGGACAAATAAAGAAAACACTGGAAATGTTCATTAAAACCGATGCAGCACTGTTGTCCAGCACTGTGTTATCACCTCTTGAGTGATGTCAAAGCTTTAGCTCAATTATTTTTTAAATAATAAATTCACGTTTAAGCACTAAAATGTTATTTACAGGACTTTTTCACAACACACTGCAACATAATGCATTGGTGTAAACAAGTCCTATTGAATGCAATGTATTTTCCCTTTATCATGCAGCAAAACGCATGGCAGCATTTTTGGTGTGAAGAAGCTCTTACGTGCTTGTTTCTCTGTAATGCCAACATGAATTTCTAAAAAATTAAGTCAATTTCTACATTGTTACTTTTCCGTATGTATTACTGAACTCATATTATGTGTGACCTATGTAGTGTAGAGACCAACAATTCCAAATAATTAGCATTTGGGTGGAAAACACTGGATTGAATCCCCAGATTCCTACGTCTATTGGACACTCCAATAGTTGGCTTTCCAACACCTTGTGTCACAACACATCACAGTTGTTACTGTCTTACAATTGGATACCCCATCTTACAATTGTCTTACAATTGGATTTGCTTATTCTACATTATATAAAGTCCACTGATGAAGCCTGGCACCATCAGTTGAATTCCTAACACGGCAGTTGTTGGGTGGATCTGGGTATTTGGGTGGGGATATTTCAGCACTTGGGTCCCTTGCATATAGAAGGCCATTATCTAGTTTACTTCTCCTATGTGTGTCCTTTTGGTGGATGGTAGAAAGACACTATGGGGTTGATTTACTAACCTTTTAAACACACCACGAATGTGTATACACCTCTGTAGTGTGTTCCCTC